GAGAGAGAGAGAGAGAGAGAGAGAGAGAGAGAGAGAGAGAGAGAGAGAAAGAGAGAGAGAGAGAGACTTATATTACAGCTCAGTGGCAGGGCCACTCCCAAACCTCCACGTGGCTAACACCTCCCCTCTGATATTCCTGAGTTATTACTTACTAAAATCTATATTCCATCATTGTTGCCTTAGACCCAGTTGGGGGGATGAGGTCTGGGGCCGCTCTTCCCAGGCTCTCACATGTTGGCTGTCTCTCTCTCTCTCACCTTCTCAAGCGTGGCAGCTACTCCTTTCTCAGCATGGCGACTCCATCCCTTCCTCTCCTTCCTCCATCTCTAGCCTAAAAGTCCCACCTCTGTCTCCCTGACCAGCCATTGGCCGTCAGCAACTTTATTTACCAATCAGAACCAACTGAGGGCGGGAACCCTCCGCCTCTTGTGTGCGTGTATTCTCAGGCAATTCTGAGGACCCAATTAGCATAATTCAAGTAGCCTTAGACCAAATCCACAACAAATCCTAGCAAAAGTGGGCACAAGGGTACCTGACTAAAGCACCTCCGAGGCGCTCATCCTTCTGTTAGGAGACAAAGCGCCTGGATCTCTGTGCATCTGCCCTTGGAGGGGATAGGAGACTGTTACTCTCTTATCCACTGCTGTGTTCATAGCTGATGACCGGACCACAAAAAAAAAAGTGTCTAAAAGCTATTTTAATATAAATTGCATATGACACCGAAAGGCAAAGAGCCAAAGAAAAAATTGTACCCTCTGTGGCTAGCCATGTGTAAGTACGCTTGAAAAATGCAATTCTAATAAAATAAGCGAGTTAATATAACCTCAGTCATGTGGATGGTATCCGTGACGTTTCATCCACCGTGCGCAAAGCAAGATGTCTCTGGGATGAGCTCCCCACCACCACCACCAACGTGTTCTCTCTCTTTCTGTCTCACCTCTATCCTATCCTACCAAGCCCATCTCTAACTCCCACCTCAGCCTCTTGAGTAGCAAAAACTACAAAGTGTCTGTCTGGAGTAAGGAAGGGTCTTCTGACCTGTTTTCATCAGAAAGTCGGCTAAGCTCTGTGACTTCGCGGGGGGGGGGGGGGGGGGGGGGAGTAGGCCCCCCCCCACCGCCCCCCCCCACCTAATTGGCCGTGTGAAAAATAGGGGGGCACC